TTCTTTTGCTTTGCATTTCCTCCTCCCATCTGTTCTGTTCCTAAGCACATGCTTCTCTATCATTCGCTCCCTTTCCTCACCTACTCTACTGCCTGGTACTCCTCTCCCCCTGCAGATGCTGCCTGGTCCTCCTCGATTGCCTCTCAATGGCTTTCCTGCTGCTTGACCTCCTTCTTCCTTGTATGCCTCTATCTTCCTTCCAGTCCACTGCTGATGTGGACATTCCTTTCTCACTGGATGGAGGCTTTGGTCCAGATGATGGCTTCTGGTTCCTTTTTGAGGCTTCTGTTCCTGGGAGTGACTTCTGTTTTTCTCCTTCTCTTCTGATGCAGTGGTCACCCACTACTGGAAGCAGCTTGGCTAAGAGCTCCTTCTTATTTCCATCTTCTACAGGCTTCCAGGATTTTCAAAGCAATGAAGGGGAAGAAGCCTGAACTGGCAGAGGGGATGGCTTCACTGGCTTAATAAATCTTTCCCATCTCTAGCATCTATTCTAGGATAATATGAAGAAATACAAAATAATACTTAAATTATTTTGCACTTTACATCCCATTTCATAGCAGAATCTCACAGCACTTTATTAATAAACAAGCTCAGAGCACAACTCACATGTGTTTGCCTCTGGATCATGACTCATTTGTGCCTCTTAGTCAAACTGATTGAATTCAAATGTTTAAAAAAAAAGAAAGAAACTGCATGTGCAGTAAGAACTTAAAAGTCAAAGTTAAATCAGATGCAAGTAACGTGACTTATCTGATACTGTATATTGTCCTCAACAGGCAGAGGGCTCATAACAAAAACATTGACAGACTATAGTTGTGTTACCGGTGATCATTATGGAATCACACTGCTAGGAAGCTGGACTGGTCCACCAGATGCCATAGCTAGTGCAAAGGCAGAGTGTCTCTGTACAGATGACCACCACCCACGTGGATCCTTGAGGATCTCCCAGGTTTGGCGATGAGCCCCTGTGACACAGATGTGCCCAGGCACATCAGGCTGGTATATCCTCCCACTATTTCTCTGAAGGAGGTTGTGGTCTGTGACGAAAGCTATGAACTAGCTGATTGTCATGGTTATTGCGCAATGTTGGTTTGGGAAATATTTTAAGAGATATGTAAAATGTAGAATATTATGTTCTGAAACTGTTGGAAATGAAGCACGTGACCTGAGGTGGACTTGGGTCTCAGCTAACTCAGTCTAGAGTGAGAACAATCAACATATTTCAGCCCAACGAGCCCTGTGTTTACAGGCTGGACCAGATGCAGGCCTGAGTATTTACAAAGACAAAAGACCCCAAAAAGAGGATCTGAATAGGGGGCCCTCAGGACTGAGCTGGAGTTAATAAAACACCCTGATTATGAAAAATGACAAAGCCTGGGACTACATAAGAGAAAAAGAAGAAAGAGCATAAGATATGATCCATTACAGAGGAGATACTGTGGCAGCATGAGTGTCTCATGAAAAGTGGATCCCAGCTCTCTGGATTGGACAAGCACTGTATGGACTGAATTTTGGATGAGAAATACCTTATTAGACAGGAAAGTAACTTGTTAATAAACATAGACTATAGAGTGCGTGTTATGTTTTTTGTTTACCTGTAACCTTGTTTCCAAACCCTGTTACTTGCTTTTATTGGAATGTTTAATCAAGCTTTGTTAAATAAACTTCAATTTGGTTTTACTAGAGACTTGTCTCAGTGCCTTGTGCTAAGGAGGGAGTTGAACTGAGCTGAAGCCAGTTAACGGGAAGGAGGAGCCAGTTAACATGGAGGCATTGGATCGGTGTACGTTGTGGGTGTCCAGAAGACGAGGGACTGGGCACTGTAATGAAATAAAATGGGGGCATGTAAATTGGTAGCCTGCAATTTACAGGGCTTGTGGTAGAATACTGGGCTGAGTGGGGTGTACACAGTGCTTGTGTTGCTTGCAGTTGGTAGTTATAGGCGAACATCCGCCAGTGGGCACAGATGAGATTACTTCACACTTTAAGTGGTAGAGATTTACTCTGAACATTTTGGTTAACTTCGGAAAGTCAGCCCCACAGTCTATTCTGTGGAGAAAGAAATCTTGCTCCCCAATGGACCAATAGGGGAAGAACTCCACAAGGCGTTCTCACAGAGATTTCAGGGGTAGCATAAACAGTATTTTGGCTTTGCTCCGACTCCTCCCCACAGTCCTTCATACCACACATACTCTTCTGTAATTTGCTAATCTTGTGCATTGGACTAGCTGGGTTGATAGACCAGCACATCAAGGACTTAATCTAAAGGCCATTGCCGTCCATGGGAGTCTTTTCATTTACTTCAGTGGTCTTTGGATTAGCCCTTAAGTAGGAGTTTTTCACTAATGTATGGAATATAGAGACTGATTTTATAGTAAATTGCTGCACTTCTGGGTCGCAAGCATTGGGGGCCATATGTTCCTGAACAGTGCATCATTCACTTTGTAGGCCCAAATGTACATCATTTCTCTCAATTTCATTGATTATTAACTGCACATTATTTATATCAGGTAGAATGGTGAATCTGAGGTTAATGAAATCTTCAAACACGTTTAATTCCCACATAATTTTGAACGTCTTCTGCTGTTGTTCTTCGTTGATCATTTTGAGCATTTGTCCAACCTTTTGAAGGCTTGTCTCCTACATTTAAAGTTTTTGAGAATTAGAGCTGGTGTGTACAGTTCAAGAACAGACTTCAAAGACTAAAAGTCTTTAAACACTATGTTTAGATAGTTTTTCATTTATTGTAGAAAATTTTTTTTAATGCAGTTCATTTTTATACATCTAAATTCCATAAAACAAATCCATAGAAATTAGGATATTGTACGCATGCGGTCTGCATTTTCTTTGTTAATGTTTCTGTTCACAAAAATAACACCACTTTTTTTCCTTGAAAGCCACTAAAGCAGAGGGAGAGCAAAACATGCAACACTGTACACATTTGCATAGTATATTTTACCCAGCATGCCTTGTAGAATGCTACACAAACAGTATCTATATAAGTAAAAATAGGAAGGGGCAAATCAGCAACAAAGAAAATATAAATTTGTACTCTTTTGGTTTAATAAAGGCAATAATTTTCTCTACCATAATTAGCCTGAACTGGCCTCCATTGATGCAAGAGGGAAAGCTCCCTGCAATGTCAGTGGAAACAGGTTTGGCCAATAATCAGAGACTGACTGGGAGGTAAATAGCCCAAGGTCCATTGTTCAGAGTTTGGATGATTGTTTTCACCACATTATTTTGCCATATCTATTTTTAGTGCACATACAGAATTTTATTTGGCTTGATTCTCCTCCTACACTGTTATTACACTAATGCAACACCATTGACTTCACCAGTGTACATGGGAGAAGAATCAGGCCTATTTCAAATGTATACATATTTTAGGGCTGAGCATGCATTTCTTGCATATATAAAACTCCCGGTGATTTCACTGGAAGTTTTAGGTGGGCTAGTAAGGACCCTTTAGTAGCTTTTACATATTTCAACCCCTCTCCCCAATAGCATAATAGTATGCAATGGCAAAAATGCTTTTATAGCCCCAGGATGTCATTTTGTTTGAAATACTTTCATTTTCATTACAGACCTTGGACTACAAATATGATTAGTGGTATAATCTTCAGTCATTTATGCCAAAAAATTATAAATGAGCACTAATTAAGATCTTACTTATAGTCATATGATTTCAAAATTTGGGAGTAGAAATAGGAGAAATGAGTATAACAAATTTTCTAATTTTAAAAGACTGATTTTTTTTACTGAGTTAACATTGAAGAAGGATAACATTTCATGGAAAAATCAAATTACATATGCAAATTGCAAGGCTGTAAAATAAATTGCTGGAGAAGTTTCAGGCAGCAAGTTAAAATGATGGAAAATGCAATAAATCCACTGAAACTGGATCAACAACGTACCTACTTTTTCAAAAATGCAATGGCAAATGTAACATGGATTTCTTGTAAATTTGTGCTATTACAAATGTGCTTTTTTTCCTTGCTCTATTTTTTATATTATTGGCAAAAAATATATATACTATAATTTTGTACTGTACAATATAATTTCTTGCTACATTACTTTATTTTCTAGTAGTAATACAGTGTAGAAGTAATAACAAAGGGTTATTTTAGCAATAGAATGCTCTCTTTTTAATAATGTCCCAGAAAATATTTGTAAGGCATATGATAAACAGTATGCAACACTGTAGGCCAGAACTTGCAAATGCTTATTACTAGACTTAACATTAATAAGCCTTATGGTCAGCAGTAAGCATTTTCAGGATCCAGCCCTAGAAAGTACAAACAGTAGCTCATTGCTTAAAAATTGTAGTGGCAGTACCAAAAAGGCAAGTCTACTGTGAAGCAGCACTAAGACCAAGCCAAAAGGTGTCAATGGTTGCTCTCACCTTGGCCACCATAATTTCAAAGGAAATAGCTACTAGATGTACCTAAAAAGAATTATAAACTCTTTAAGTTTATTATTATCATTATTATTTCTATCTTCTCCCAAAACACTTCGCTTGGATCACAGGAATTGAAGAAAGGAGGAAGTTTCTCTAGAAGTATACATAAGTATATTCCACAAATCAGAAAAATATGTTTGCCTCCATTATTTATAACAAACTTTTGCTCCTAGGTAGAGTTTACAGCCCTTTGTCCAAATTCATTCATTTAGATATTTTCTATGATATTATCAAAATGTACCATTCTTTTTCTATATAGCGTATGTTGGGCTTAAATAATCATAGAACAGGACTAATATGGATGATTGCTCTTCAAAGGTTGCATTCCCTTTTGGCAATAAAGTATAGAGATAGCAGGAGATAGCTTTCACCAAATTTGGACTTGGCTAGGTAACTGTATTTTGTAGCCCCATTATTATCAGTTGAACTACTATTTAAAAGCATGAGAGATTACTGGGGCAAAATAGATTATAGCTGAATCCATTTATCCAAACTAATCATGCAAGTTGGGAAACAACCCAATTTTCAAACAACGTAATGGATCAGAGAAGTTTGCATAAATCTGATTCTACTGTACACAATTTTGCATCCAACTTTTCATTCACCAGTCAGGATGTGTACTCTGCTTTTAAAAAATTCATGAACAACATGGAGTCACGGCAAGGTTTCATGACTGCTGAATCCAGAAATCAATATATGAGCAAGGGATAAATTTAATTTATTTCTATATAAAGCAAATGGACTGATCAAATAGCCAGCTGCCCTAGCTTACTCAAGTAACTATACAATAAGATATTGTGACTATGAAGTGTGTGCTTCTGAGAATGATACATAGGAACATTAGTGAGGGCTGTGAACCTCAGGGAAGTTCAAAGAATGTGGAATTGAGACCAAGGTGAATTCTGAAGATTTGTCTGAAACTGAACTGAACTTGAAGTTATGGACCTGTGCACCCCCTATGGAAACTACCATTATTTATAGAAGCAGGTAGCTTGTGGCACAGAAAAGAACTGCCATAAGCACTCACTTTCCAGTAGTTTCTTGTTCTTAAAATTACTTTCCTCCCTACTTGCAATCTTTATTCTCACAAACACTAGCTTAAAAAGCAAGGAGCAAAGAAAGGATGAAATACCCAAACATAAGTTGTAAAAGGAGCTTTAAAACCTGGGGGAAAATATAGGGTACGTCTACACTACAAACCTAAGTCGACCTATATTAGGTCAACTTACAGCCACCACAGTAATTACTGCTGTTGTGCATGTCCCCACTAACCTCCTTAGGTCGGTGGTGCGTGTCCTCACCAGGAGCACTTCCACCAACCTAGCGGGGCAGTGTGGGGAGCTGAAAGCCCAGTCTCTCAGCTCTGTTAGCAGCTCCCTGCCAGAAGCTTGGCTGGCCCACAAGCTCCTGGGTTCTCCGCAGGCTCCCCTTTCCCTGCTCCTTATTCCCCGCCGGGAGCAGGGGGAAGTCACCCATGTCTTCTTGCTGCCAGGGAGCAGAGTCCATCTGCCCTTCTTATCCCCCTGCTGCCCACTCCGCACTGGAAGCCAGGCAGGCTCCTCGCAAGGAGTGGGCGAGGGGATGCTTGGGCTTCTCACCCTGGCTCCCAGCTGGGAGCAGGGTCCAGCTGCCCAGCTCTCCAGGGGAGCAGGGGCATTCTTGTCAGTTTCATGGCTCCTGCTGTGAAACTGACAAGACAGTGGATGTAGGGACACAATGTCTACACAGACAGGGCATCAAACTAATTACATGGACCTTATGCCTATGGTGGAGATGGAGTTATTACGTTGGTGTAGTAGGCCACTTACACTGACGAGAGGAAGGCTGTAGTGTAGACACTGACATAAGGAGGTCAACATCAACTGCCTTATGTCAACCTAGCTGTGTAGTGTAGACCAGCCCATAGTCAAGTGTATTTCCACTTGCAGTAAAGCCAACACTAACATTCTGAGTATGATTTATTGGCGTGTTTACTGAAGACATTGGGAATTTTTCTAATCTTAAGTGCTCCTGATTTATATCTGGCTTTATCAGTATAAGTCAGAAATATGGGAGATCAGAATCAGGCTCAATGTTCTCTAACAAAGAGGTAGCATAAATAGCAAAGCTATTGCTACAAAAATTACTCTTGCTTTACTGAGCACAAAAATAAGTAGTCAGGGTGCAACTTCCACTGACTTCAATGGGAAACTAACTTCTGAGGGCAAAATCTAGGTCCTAGGGTCAAAATGTACATGGATGTCTAAGCAGTGATCCACTAAACTCAACAGAAAGTTTTGTTTAGAAAATGATGGCATGATATGGCCCACAGTGTTTAAGTTAAAATTACTTCAAAACAGCTTTAGTTATCTTCTTTTTTTTAAACAATAATTTCCTAATATATTGTATCAGTCAGAAAATGTACCCAATTTACAACTGCCTGTCCCATGGGGAAAATGTTCAACTACATAAATAGCAAAAGAGATGAAAAAAATTCTGTAAAATTAAAAAATAATAATTCAAGATTGAGGGTAACAATTACAATTCTTATAAATATGCACCATATTTTAAAATTAATTTGTTCTTCAATTATAGTCAGGCAAATGAATGCATTGAAGCATACTGTCTTTAGATGATCATGTCACTGAGATTGTCATATCAGCATAGTCTATCAGTGCCTAAATTATCATTAACCCCAAAAGTCTTAAATAAAAACCTATAAAAATAACGAAGAACCATCAACATTTTATAAACATTTCTAAATAAATACTTGTGTATATACTGGAGCGTAGCAGTAGAACCCTGATCGTTACTATAATCAGGTTATAATAATCATGAGAAATTATAGCAGGATTGGAAAATTAGTCTTATTCCTACTCATTCAGGACTACATTAATTTCACATCTTCACATAAAGCCATTGCATAAAAAAACCACAGAAGATGGCTGGCTAACATTGTAGAAGTTCTAATACATGGTTTATACTATGAATTTAAATGGCCTTAATCAGCATTGCAGCTCTTATTATTTTTCTTGTTTCCTAAAAAATATTTTTAAAAGAAAGATTCCCAACAGCATTTACTCACAATGAAATGTATTCTTGTCAGTATTTTATATAAATGTATACTTTCAGAGTATATCTCCCTGCAAAACAAAAGCAAAACAAAACAAGCAAACTTTGATGATATTTAAGTATTAGAATGAGGGGGTATAAATCATACAAAAAAGGAAGGTAAACTTAAAATAAACCTGCAGAATTAAGTGAAACATTAAAAATTTTCCTTCAAGACATATACACGACTCCTTTCAACAGGTTATTTTCATAAGAATGTTAAACAAAAGTGGTTTTGGCACTTCAGACAATGCAGTAGGTGGATTTTGTGCATGTGTGTTCTGGGGATCTTTCCCTTTACTAGCATGACATGGAAGACTTTAAAACAAGGCTCCAAAAGGCTTTAAAAATAAATGACATTTTTGTCTCTGAAATGATAAAGCAATAATCTCATTTACTAGAAAATGTGGTGTTGCCGCTACCTGTCATAAAATGCAAATATCTTCAAGCAGTTAATGATCTGATTCCTAATCCTACTACAGAATAAAGATAAACAGCTGTCTAATCTAGGTTTATACATTTCAGTGCATTCTTTGCAATTAATACTTTAATGCACACAAAAAAAAACTGTCAAAGCTTATAGAAAAATGTTTTGCCTAATACCTTTTGTTTCATGCAGACGTGTGCTGTACATGTAACAAAGACTTGTAAATATTATTGGAGAATGTTCCACTGTGCTATAGCATAAAATATTAGAAATGGCAGCATATGCCCCTACTATGGGGGCTGATCCTGCATTAGTTCCTCAGGCCAAACTCCCACTGAGCTCAATAGGAGTTTAACCTGAAAAAGGACAGCAGGAACTGACCCTATATGTTAATTCTTAACTTTATTACTCCAATGGATGCAAGTATTTTATGTTTTAGTTGTTGACAATTGGCCCAACTGAATCATCTAGTGACTGATCATTAAAGGCGTCTTTTATGCAGTAAACCTGTCCAAAAAGCCAGAGTTGCATCCACTATCTTTTGCTACTAGAGACATGTATTATTTTTGGTTGTACCAGATATGCAGTGAATTACATTTCTAGTTGTCATCACCAAGCAGATACTAAGGCTCACTAGTGGGGAAATATATCAAAAGCATCTTTGTTAATTGGTGCAGAAGGTAGAAGACATCATAATGTTCAGGAAATTTGTTTAGTGCTACATGCTTTTATAGCCTGCCTCTCAAGAGGCTTTGGGAAAGAAAGAGAAAAATATAAAAACTGAATTAGTTTCATTTTCAAAAAATAGCTTTGACATGAACCAGCATAAAATGATATTTTTCACATAGTTCTGTCAATTTTAGAAAATGCATGCAGTGTCTGGGGTGTTTTAGAAAGACTCTATGCTTAAAGACACCAGTGTGTTGTATAAAATGATCAATTACAATAATTATTTCAATCATATTGGATCTAAGGCTTCAATGATAATGTAAGATATAAGGTCTAACTACATAAATGTATCCATTAAAAAAACTGAAGAGTCAGTAGGTGAAAAGCAGTGTTCATTAGAAGTAAGGCAGCAAAATCTCCAAAGACTTTATCATAGTTCTTTGAATTAAAAATGTCAGCTCTATAATTTTACCATTAGCAGACCTTCTCTGGTACTCTAGTCTGTTTTTATTGCAAGCTGTATCTTTCGGAACCTTTGTTTTATAAGTTACTGGCGTGTTGAAAAAAAAGTCTGCTTTTATCAATAAAATTTAAATGATGTGGTTATGGAGGGTTCTTGTGCGATTCTGGAATTTTCAGACATTCAAAGAGCGAGACTGAAAAATGTAATGTGAAGGTACTCAATTGTGTGGGAATGTAAATACAGTACATGCTGTACATGTGTGGTTGGGAGAATGGATCAATTTCCATTTGACAAGGCAGAACATTGAGAATGGGAGAAAAAGTATCACATCTCTACTGTTTGATAGTGGATTTTGTGATGATGAACCAAAGAAAGAACAGACATGTATTCTCACACTCTTCATTCCTGCTTGGCTTGGATTTGTTCATACTCCCACTAGTCTCTTCCATGTTGCTGAAGTTCATAACATCATTGCTGACCACAAAAGTATCAGTATTGACTAAACAAAAGAAAAAAATTGCTGCAATGTATGTATCAGGAGAAAAAATAAAAAAAATTCAAACAGGAAAGTACTTTGTAACTGCTGCATTAATTTGTGATATTTGGCACTACAGATGGTTTACATTTGGTTAGTCTGAAAAAGCCATTCAGGAAAAGTGAATACACATTAAAATGCTTTTATTCTAACCTTGAGTGTAAATTTAGCTTCCAGCAAACAAATACTGTAGCTGATTTTTGGCTGATAGTGGTTAATTTTCTATTTCTTCATCTGCATTTTTTTTCAATTGATTGCAACTTGTTCAAGTCGACTTTCCAGTCAGTTCACCCAAATTCCAACAAGAATTGGTTTATAAATTGGTTCCAACTGGAACTGGTCATTTGGAATTTCCAGCACAGGAAATTGTTTTATATGTGCCTTGATAAGTACCCTAAATTACAAACTGATGTGTTGAATATCTAACGAGGAGAAAAGGTACTACTATAAATGCAAATGATGTGCTAAAAAAAAAGTCCAATATGATTGGGCAAGCTAATTTCCTCCTAAACATCAGGGCATGGTGAATTTCTTCCTTCTCCCTTTTTTAAAGCATCAAATGACAGCAGCTTGTAACTACAGTAAAACCGTGTTATACCTGCTAAATTAAGATGATTTGTTTTTCCTAGCTATGTTATGGCAAGTTGTCAACTAATAAATACTATTTTCCCCCAGGTTCTTAAACTCAAAGCCTATGTCGTGAATCATGGCTATATCCTCCAGGCGATCCTCGGTTCCTATGGGGTTTGTAAGTGTCCTGGTAAGTGTCAGAGTACTCTTCTTCCACAAGTGGGTAATGATCTCGGCTGTGTTGGGAACTGGAAGACAAGCGGTTCCTGCTCTTCCGAGCCCTTTCATTGTGATAATTTTCATCAGAGGTCATTAGACTTCTTCGTTCAACTGGAGAGTTCTCAGTAGAGTGGTTGCTATGTCTCATACGCTGACTCTAAAAATGTAAAGAATGTAAGGATTAATACAGATACAATTTTATTTCACCTCTTGTAAGTTAGTTGTGAGCCTCAGTCTGAGGTCCTTCAGAATCTATCCACGTTTGTAATTCCTTTTTAATAGTAAAATTTATTTGCGATGGGAGATGGATGTGAGAATAGTCTGATTCCCAAAACTGGTAGGAGACCAAACACAGCATAATACAATGTATTTTTATGATATTTTTATATGCAATCTTATAAAATTTTACAGAGCACTTTCAGTAAGAAGTGACTAGTAGATCGATTCAGAACACACTGCATTTATCAGTTCTTCTCCCCAATCATGAACATAACATTCATATTTCTATTTTGATTCCTTTTACAAATTTGTGATGAATCAGTGTGTTTTGCAGAAACTCTGAAAAGGAGTTTTTGATTTTTCCAAAAGGTGAACCTCATTATGCATTATTTAAAGGTTTTTAAACTATGATCTAATAGTGTATAATCAAATACTCTACAGGAAGGATAGCTGAAGTAGTTAGATGTTAAGTGACTTTTATAACTAAAACATAATAAATATTTCAAATAACTTGCACAGAAACTCCTTGACCAAACCATTTACCAAGTAGGGATTTGGCCTTTTTTGTCCTTATGTTTCCATAGTGATTGGTTAATATCTAACCATGTGTGGTCACAAGATCAAAATTAGTTCACATTATTGCCTCTAAACTGGTGCAATGAGGCAATAATCCATATTGAGAGAACAACATTCCATCCAATGTCATCAGACATGGTCCATTATTACCACTGTTATTCTCTCATGTCTCCGCAAAACCATCTTTAACAGAAATTCAAAAGGTTGATCAAGCACCAACTTAGCTGACTCTTCTTTCTCTCACCATTTTGCACTCAATATCCTTTTTCTGATCCAAAGGCGAATAGTAAAATGCCACTAGTACCGTATATACTCGATCATAAACCGGTTCGTTTATAAGCCGACCCCCCCAAGATGGATAAGTAAAAATGGAAATTTTTTATAACCCGTTCATAAGCCGACCCTGTAATTCAGGGGTCAGCAAACTTTGGCTCCCAGGCCATCAGGATAAGCCGCTGGGGGGCTTCCGCAGGCACGAAGGTAAACCTAAATAAACAAAGTGTCCCGGCGCGCCAGCTGCTTACCCTGACAGGCCGAGACAGCAACTGGTGAGGAAATGTTTTTGGGGGGAGAAGCTGGGAGTCAGGGGAGTAACCCCTGTGACCACCCCCCACATGACCCCACCCCTAGCCCAGGACCCCCACACTCTCCCCATCCCATCCCTTCCCACCTTATCTGGGGAGGGCCAGGGGAGGGTGTCTCTGACCTGGCTGGAACTGCTCCGGCAGGCTGGGCAGCGCGGTTGCAGCCTGCTCCGGCAGGCCAGACCAGGCAGCGCGGCCACAGCATGTTCCAGCGGACTGGGCTGGGCGGCACAGCCGCAACCTGCTCTGGGGGGTGGGGCCGAGCGGCACAGCTGCAGCCTGCCAGCCCCAGAGCTGCAGATGCTTCGGAGGCCGCGGGGAGAGCAGCGCGGCCAGAAGCGGAGAGACTCTGGCCCCACCTCTTCCCTTCTGGCTCTGCTGGCTGTGCTGCCTCTCCTTGCTTCCTCTGTTGGGGGAGGGGCTGTGTCCCACCTCTTCCTCTCTATACCCGTTCATAAGCCGACCCCGTCCTCTGGTGCTTCCTTTTTTACTAAAAAAATTCTGCTTATGAACAAGTAAATACGGTATGTTTGTATTCTTATGATCTGAGATTTGTATCCATACAGATTCTACTGTATGGTCCTCTCAACTCAGAAGTTTTCTCTATTCTATGTAATCTTTCTGGTATAGTTCTACTTTTCACCTCTATGACCTAATCTGTTATAATTCTCTAATTCATAGCCAAGTATTATGTTATCCCAAAGATTTTTGTCATTCCATGTTGTTTCAAAATATCTATTATGGCAAGATCCTCCTCCAAGCTCATAGTTTTTATTTTTGTTTAATATGTCTTTTTATTTTTGGTTAATATGTCTCTTATTTAACTCTTTGGTCTAACATCTACAACATCTCTGCAATTGATCTCTGTGAATGCAACTTGTCCCTCCCCCAGTTATTTTGTAATATATGCTCTTTCCTTTAATGCAGTGTTTCCCAAACTTGAGACACCGCTTGATTAGGGAAAGCCCCTGCCGGGCCGGGCTGTTTACCTGTCCCGTCCACGGGACTTTCCCTACACAAGCGGCATCCCAAGTTTGGGAAACACTGCTTTACTGGATACAGAGATATCTTTGTATTACTGGCTTGATTTTGTAGTTATTCTGATCTCAATCTCTTCATCTGGGTGTGGAACATATTTAATGTGAGTTAATATTTGTAGGTGTTGTACAAAAGATACAGTCTTACATTATGAGATAAGAGGTTATCATAACCCATATCTGGCCTCACTTGAACTGCTGGGTTCAAAACTGAGTCCTGCAGAGATAAAAACATTGAGCTTCCACCACTCGAGCCAAAGGGCATAAGTCTATTAGCTGGAACTTGCAGACTTCAGCCTTGTATGTGGATCAGCCATTAGAGGGTGACAAATCTCTACACACTCAACGTGTGTTGCAACTGCATATGATTAATATGCTCAATTTGAATTTTACATATTTCTAAGTTGCATTGCATCTTGAATCTTGAGCCTCAGACTGGCACAGTTTATGTATACTGGTATATAAAATATAAACAAATACATTATTAAACTTGTGTGTGCACTCTTCACTTTTGTTTCTCCTGGACTTAAGTGCATAAATGTACACCTGTAGTGCATTAACATAGGATTCTGGCTTTTTTTGCATTCGATTTCCTAGTAATTTAAAGGTAGTATAGCTGATAAAGAAAAGGAAAAAAGTCATAAGGGCTTAAAGAACTGTAGTAAATACTTAATGTAGCATAAGCACCTAGGCTGGTTTAATTCCTAAAGTCTGTATAAGTACTTCAATCACCTTATGGTGTCAAACACTTAAACTGATGTAATTCTTCAGATGGCAAATGTCTTGAAAGTGGTGTAAGACATAAGCACTTAAGATAATGTAAGTCCTTAATGTGATACAACTATGTCAACCCAACTTTCTAAATGGTCTGAAACACTTAAGTGGCATTGTGAACCAAATCCGGCAATCTTTACTCAGCCATAATAAACTCAGTGGGTATTAAGGGACAATGCATAGACCTTCTGCTGGCCCCCTGCATAGGGGTAATTTTCATCTTCAGTGTAAGTTTTCCCTATGTAAGTGGAGCCACATGTCACAGTCACTATCAGTGCCTACTGACTAGGGGTAAACAAATACTGGAAAAAAATGCGGTGGATAGCCATAATTCTTCAAATGGATTTGCTTTGGCTATGCCCACAGTCCTTTTGGGTTTGCTTAGGTGAACATTCAAGTGATGGCATTTTACTGATATGAATGGATGGCAAACTGAAATGTTACAGTTAAGTGAACATGGAAACAATATTTTACAATTGTTCATGTGATTACTAATGCCAGAAGTGCTAGTGCACTCATCCAATCAGGGAAAATAATACCACACAATTTATTGGGCCTAACAGAATCAAGCTACCTGGTGAAAAATATGATTACCAAAAACTGTCTATCTGCAGTCAACTGTGCAATTAATCCACAGAGTAATTTTTATATATTTATTGAATAAATTTAAATAATCAATCAATTTGAATGTTGAATCACTTTATTCAGAAATTAGGATCTGCCTCCAAATATTCCATGAGCAGAACAGAGGTTAAATTTTTCAGGTGAATTATGCATTACAAATTATTTGCTCAGCTCTATTGCTGACACATATTAGCAAGTGCACATTCCTCAAAAGTCACACACATGCAGAACTCTTTCTGAAACTTTCAGAATTAATGAAAAAAATGTTCACTGAATTCCCTCCCGGTCTTGCATCTTCAAACATTCATAACTGTTATTTCAAAAACATTTTTTTCAAACTTAGTAAAGCACGTACTTCTCATTAAGGACTATTTACATGCCACGTTTGAAGTTTCAAAGTTCGCCGTTTTTGAGCTATCCCTGTGGAAAAAAATGGTCAGAATTTTTTTTTCAATGGGAAAAAATGTATTTTATTCACACTCAATGAACTCAAACAGATGAAAGGGATTTTGCTGAAGCTTTACCTTGGGCCAAGCATGGAAAATTTGGCCCAAAAGATGAATGTTGTGAAAAGTTATGAGCATGTGAAAATGGGGTTATAACAGAATAAGATCTGCAGCCTTAACTATAGTATTTCTTACCAGCATAACTGCTATCATATTTTACATGCTTATTTTCAGTCTGAAAGACTCTTAATTCTAATGGCACTTTCTCACATAAAAAGATGCAATTTTGTTATATAGCTAAAATAGCTTTTGACAGAGTGCCATTTATCTCAGTTTATTCCTCATGCCAAAAGGAGTTATGGGTATTATATTCCCCATTAAAACAAAACTAGTCCGAACACCAGTGCACTCCATTAATAAAATGTTTCTCTGTTGAATAAGTGGGTCTATTTTGCTTTCTTGCTGTTGGCACTTACCAAACAGCAAATAGTAATTAACGAAACAAATACTGGATACAGTTTATAAAACATATTATTCTGTTTTCCTATAATTAATCAAACTGACCTGTACTGGTGACTGGGGGCCAAGATGCATATTCATACCTGTAATCCAGAGATTGCAGTAGGGTATGGTGAAAGTGCAGTCGATCCTAGGTTTCTTCCAAGAAGAGGAGTCATAGGTGTGCTGCTGGTGGTATGTGTAGCACGCCAGTATGCCTCTAGGTATTCTGCCAAATGTTCACACGCATCCTCAAGCTGATTTTCATCCAAAATGACATCAAACATTTCCTGTTCACAACAAGAAAATGCTAGTTCAGTATTTTTTTTTATGGGCAGCCAAAGAGGGACACCCAAATAACCATAGGTTCATAGAAACGGTGGACTGCAACAGACCTCAATACGCCATCTAGTCTAGTTCCCTGCACTCAAGGCAGGACTAAATAATAAGTAGACCATCCCTGGCAGGTGGTTGTCCAACCTGTTCTTAAAAATCTCCAATAACGGAGATTCCACAACCTCCCCAGGTAATTTGCTCCAGTGCTTAACTACCCTTACAGTTAGGAAGTTTTTTTATGTCTAGCCTAAATTTAAGCCCAATACTTCTTGTCCAGTCCTCAATAGCTAAGGAGAACAATTTACCACCCTCCTTTTTATAACAACATTTTACGTACTTGATGACTGTTATTTCCCCCCTTCCCAGTCTTCTCTTCTCCAGACCAAACAAACTCAGCTTTTTCAATCTTTTCTCATAGGTCATGTTTTCTAGATCTTTAATCATTTTTGTTGCTCTCCTCTGGACTTTCTCCAATTTGTCCACATCTTTCCCAAAGGTTACTGCCCAGAATTGGACACAATACTCCAACAGAGACCTCATCAGTGCTGAGCAGAGTAGAATAATTACTTCTCATTTCTAGCTTACAATGCCCCTGCTAATACATCCCAGAATGTTAACTTTTTTTGCAACAGTATTCCATTGTTGGCTCATATTTAGTTTGTTATCCACTATAACTCTCAGATCCTTTTCTGCAGTATTTCTTCCTAGGCAGTCATTTCCCATTCTATATTTGTGCAATTGATTATTCTTGCGTAAGCATTTGTCCTTATTGACTTTCATTTCATCGTATTTATTTCAGCCCATTTCTCCAGTTTGTCCAGATCATTTTGAATTCTAATTGTAGTTCTGAACTCTGGGGCTGACTCAGATCTCTCTGATAAACAAAATCCTGATTCTGAACTCAGATCCGGAATTGAACTGTGCAGCTGAAGAACATCTCTATTCTAGTTCATACAATTTACAGTTATATTAGCAAGGGCATTTCTACTTAGCATAACTGCTAAAGTTCAGGACATACAGCTGTTCAAACATTCACAGCTGGGAATTCTGTCTACGGCACCTACATATGATGTGTATGCATTGTCTTAACTGCCTTCATTTATATCTATCTGTCGAAATGGCCCTGTGCCTGTTCTTAAATTGGTGAGGTCTTAGGATTTCTTTTTTTTTCCACCAGGAACTCATTCCTTGGTGACAGTACTTAAGCACCAGAACAAATACCTCAATACACTACCTCAGACCTGCTGACACTTATATGCCACACAAAGTATATCTATTGTTGAACAGCAAAGGAATGTAGGACACACAGCTCCCGTGACTTTCTGGCTGCCAATAGGGCAGTTTATATGCAGCTAGTGTTTTCATATTCTATCAGCAATGGAAGTGGTTTATAGCTGTACTAGATGAGTGGATTTTTATGAATTGCAAGACAAGCATAATAAAATAAATGCCCGTTTTCTGAAGAAAACATATTTTCATGAATATTCACAAATTTAGTCCATTGAGAAAATTCAGCATTTTCAGCAGTGAAGTTTTGCACCTGTGTCTTTCCCCTTCACTTTCAATTCAGTGGGAAAATATACCATGGAACTATAGCAGGAATAAAATAAGGACTGCATGGTGCAGGTGTTGTAGTGATTAGTACAGTAAAAACACACACAAAAAACCACATAATACTCTGCTCCCCCATCCCTTATACTCACATATATATCTAAATAGACATGTAACTCCACAATATATGTGAAGCGGACATCCATATGGTAAATTGTTTCATCTGATGTCTGCCCACTAATCCAGTCCCCACAACTTCCTCTAACTCTTTAACTGCCACTTTAATTTTTTTAACCAACTGACTTAATAAATGTTTCCTCGTCCTCCCCGCAAAAGGGGAATTAAATCCTCACCTCCTCCAACTCACATACTCCAAACACAAAGACTGCTTGAAACCTAGGATGGGCAAGATTCAGTGCTAATCTAGTGATAGCTTCTCTGTACATAAAAACAATATGATGTTACAGCTAGTTATTCTGCAGCCCTGCAAGACTATATGTGAGCTATAGCTCACTGGCAAGTGTACATTCCCAGTTTCCAAATGGGAATCACCTTTGCTTCTAGCTCTAGGGGACCTGAGATAATGGAATTTAGTCATGACATATTTAACTGCAGAAAAACTATTTTATGACTGCCCGAGTCATGTACAAATGGACTTATGATAATGAAGGATTAGTGGGTGAAGGACTATGAAAAATGGTCCCAGTAAAAAGCTTTAAAATTCTCTAAACCATTTCTAAAATAGCTTTTTGTACCATCTTTTCATTATACAGAAATCATGCTGGTTTAGTGCAGTCTGAGTGTTCTATTGACACTTGTCTGAGTTTACCTGCAACTCACACGTGGCTTTGCCACTCATGAGTAATTCATCCTTTCAAACAAATGCTGATAAAATCATGTATTCCATTATATTACACACGCACACACACAAAAACACTAAAACAACATTATAAATGTTCCAAAGTCAAGCACTTAAAAGTTAGGAAATGCCAGAATTAAGATTATCTGTACATGCAAGACAAAAGCACACAGTACTTTTGAAAATAATAAGAACATGCAATGTGGTATTTGGATTGTATTATCTGTGTTTACTACAGGGTCAGTTCTGAGACAGGCTGATTTGAGGAGGTTAAGTAATTTCCATGAAAAGGAAGTTACTCACCTTGTGCAGTAACAATGGTTCTTTCAGATGTATGTCCCTATGGGTGCTCCACTGTAGCTGTATCTGCGCCTCTGATCGGAGATTTTGGGTAGCAATGTCCATTCAGCCTGCACATGCGCTCTCCCTCCGTCCCGGTCTGCCTTGAGTCTAACACTGTGCGGGCAAACCCCCCTCAGTTCCTTCTCTATCCCAGAGCCCCTTATGGAGAACTCCAAAGTAGAGGGGAGAAGGATGGGTTGTGGAGCACCCATCGGGACACACATCTTGAAGAACCATCATGACTGCCCAAGGTGAGTAACTTCCTCTTCTTCTTCGAGTAGTGTCCTTATGGGTGTTCCACTGTAGGGGACTCCTGAGCAGTATCCCCAATGGAGGGCTGGGGCTTTGGAATGGGAGTCTGTTACTACAGAGAACACTGTGGAGCTGAAGATGGCATCAGAGGCTAAATCTCCAGTGATCGCATAATGTTCTGCAAAAGTGTTGGAAGGGGGCCAAGTCACTGCTCTGCAAATTTCTGAGATAGGGGCATCTTTAAGGAATGTGACTGAGATAGAAATTGACCTCATGGAGTGCATATGGATTTTGGATGGAGGCAACAGGTTGCACCTTTGATAATAGAGATTAATGCAACCCAAGACCCATTTGGATAATCTTTAAGCCGATATCACAGAGCCTTTGGATCTTTCCGTGAATGAAAGGAAGAATTTAGGGGACTTCCTGAAGTCCTTAGTCCTGTCCAAGTAGAATATTAGTGCTCTTCTAACATCTAGCATATGCAGAATTGCTTCTCTGTTGTCGCGATGTGGTTTTGGGGAAAAAACAGGACAATGGATCTCTTGGTTCATATAGAAAGTAGAGGCAACTTTAGGGAGAAACTTGGGATGCAACCTCAGAGTTACTTTGTCTTTTTAAAAGACTGTGTATGGTGAGTGTGCCATTAGGGCCACTAATTCTCCTATGTGCCTAGCTGAAGTGATGGTAATTAGAAATGCTGTCTTCATGGACAGGTGTAAGAGATAGCAAGTTGCCATGGGCTCAAATGGAGATCTAATCAAAGCTCTGAGAACTAGGTTAAGATCCCAGATTGGAGTGGGTGGTCTCACATGCAGGAAGAGATTCCCAATGCCATTAAGGAATCTATACATCAGCAGGTGTAAATTATCTAGATCAGTAGAATATCCATCTGCTTGATAGTGGAAAGCTGTTATGGCCACAAAAGGTACCTTAAGGGAGCTGAGTGAGACTTTTGACCTTTGAGGTCTAAAACGTAGTTTAAAATTAGAGGGAGGGAAGGGTCTGTGCGTTTAGAATGACACCAAACTTGGGATCATTTCAATTTTTGTAGGTCAGTACATTGAGTGGTTGACTTTTGGCTGTGCAGCAACACGTCTTTCACCTCGTCATAGCATTCTGCCTCTAAGTCTTGGAACCAAGGAGAAGCCAACCCTGGAGGTGGAGGACCTGCATGTTAGGGTGAAGGATCAGCATGTCGCTTTGAGAGAGCAGATGGGGAATGGGCCAAAGAGGAACTGGAGGACATATTGCCATCTATGTCAGGTAAAGGAACCAGACTTACCTTGGCCAGGAGAGGACACTCAGAATAACTCTCATTTTGTCTCATCAAATTTTCTACAGGACCTTGGATAGAAAAGGAAACAGGGGAAAGGCATACAAGAGGTTCTTGTCCCATGCAAGGATGAGGGTGTCTCCCAGTGAATGTTTCCCCAGGCAGGCCCTGGAGCAGTAACAATGATATTTCTTGTTCCAGTAAGTAGCAAAGAGCTCTGCAGTCGGGGTTCCCCAAAGGGTGAATATGTCTCAAAGCACCTTTGAGTTCAGTTCCCATTTGTGGTGGTGAGAAAAGTTCTGAGACAGTCGGCTGTCGCAGTCTGTATCCCTGGTAGATAGACAGCTGAGATGAGTTTGAGTGCTTCTGTGCAGAAGGAGGGAGATATGGCACCTCCCTGGCAATTTATGTAAAACATACACTTCATATTGTCTGTCATAATCTTTGAGTGGGTATTCTTGATGAAACGCAAAAAGCAGGCACAAACATTCCTGATGGCCCTTAGCTCCAAAAGATTGATATGGAGGGTCACTTCTATGGAAGACCACTTGCCTTGAACCTTGCAATCATGTAGGTGAGCTCCGCAGCCCATTAGGGAGGCATCCATCGTTAGTCAGTGTCAGTGGCGGTTGCACGAATGGAACACTTGCTCAAACACTGAATGGGTCTTTCCA